GTAAGAACCCTGTGATGATGTTCTAATGAAACACTTAATTTTAAACATTGTTTTAATGTCTATAACATCTTTTCAAAGTTTACAAACTGCTGAACTAAACAGCATTGGTGTTAAAGTAGATATTTCTTTTCTGATTTTAGTACCTCTTTATTATTCATTTCATTTTTGAGATTATGAAATTGTGTAATATCTCTTTTCTTCCCTCTGATTCTTCTCATATGTCCTCTCTTGCTCTCTTTTAGATTCATGACCTCTTTTTCATTAATTGTTTTTACATACATATATTTTATTTTTAAAGTTCTTTTTTTTAAAGATTTATTTATTTATATATACAGTGTTCTGCCTGCATGTATGCCTGCAGGCCAGAAGAGGGCACCATATCTCATTATAGATGGTTGTGAACCACCATGTGGTTGCTGGGAATTGAACTCAGGACCTTTGGAAGAGCAGCCAGTGCGCTTAACCTCTGAGCCATCTCTCCAGCCCACAAACATATATTTTTAATTCATAAATGTAACTGTTCAGTCTGTATAAAGCACCAAATGAAGACATCTGTTTTTATAACTCAACTCCTCTTACAAACGACTGTGTGCTGTTTTTCAAGTCATTTAATTTCTAAAATACAGAGTTATGTATAAATAGCTAAACAAGTTGACTTTTGAAATAAGACCAAAAGTAGGGAGGGGGATGCGGTCTGTGGGTCCCCAGGACAGCTTCGGGGAGGTAGAAAGGGTAGTGGTGAAAATTACCAAAGTATATTGGATAGATGTATGAAATATCAAGTTATTTTAAAAAATCCTAGAAAATATTGTGCTTTTTCTAGCAATCAGTAATCTTCAGCACATACCCTTAGAATGAAGCATTCTACTACAAGTTTATTTAAATTTTTATAATTTCATTTTAATATGAATAGTATAAATGAACACTGATTTGGGCTTCTCAATAATGTTTCAAGGAATCATTTTAGATTATAGTTAGACATGGTTTTGGTGTGCTTTGCTTTTCCTTGAGAAGTATAACTCATATTTTATTATAGTCACTCTTTAATAAAGTTTCATTTTTTCTATAAGTATACTGCATACTTAATTTAAAAAATTAATAGGAATGCTAATTTTGATTTAATTTACTATTACAGTCATGGCCTACTGTACACAGCTAGATGGTTTTCCAAAAATGTAAGTTAGATAACAATACTTGTATACTTAGAATTTACTAATAGCACAGCATTACATTTAGAATAAAGCCAATATTCTCTTCAGTGTTACAGAACCCAGAGGACAGCTATCTTTGACGATAGATATCTTGGAGGCATTTTAGCCAGTTCCCACTCACTTTATCATAGGCCTTTACAGCTTCACTGGATTTTGCTCTCTCAATAAGAAAACTTTTTCTCAAATTAAATTTTTTTCTAGTTCAATTGTACTTTTTTAAAAAATTAATTTATTTATTATGTATACAGTGCACATATCCCTGCAGGCCAGAAGAAGGCACCAGATCTCATTACCTATGCTTGTGAGCCACCATGTGGTTGCTGAGAATTGAACTCAGGACCTTTGGAAGAGAAAGCAGTGCTCCTAACCACTGAGCCATCTCTCCAACCCCAAATTGTACTTTTGTATTTGATTGTTCTACTGTGACTCTTTCAATGTTACCCTAATTGTGCTTATGTTGGCATTCTGTTCATTGTTCTGGGTTTATATTCTATATTAGCTACTTTTATTGTGGAATTTAAAAATGGAATTGGTTGCCAAAGACTGAAATATACTTAAAAATTCTGGCTGTTACTCAAAGAAAAAGAAGTATTTATCACCTTCAATACCAGAATCCTACCTGTACATAGACTTATATAGTAAGAATAATTAGTCCTGTCACTTACACCATAAAAAAACTAAATTAAAATTCCCTCAGTTAAATTATCCACATTCTTGTGTGTGCATATACATATATACACATGTGTATATGTGTGTATATGAGAGATAGAAAATTACAACAAACCCACTTAACAAAATCTCATTAGATTTTAACCCAGCTTTCTATTGTATAACATAATACAAAAATATTTTCCTTAGTTTATTTTATGGTGTTAGAAATTATCTTATGGCTGAAGTTTGATGATCAGGAGCTAAAACTTGGAGTTCAAATATGCTCTCCCTTTTCTCTAGGAAAAAATACACAGTCAAATTGAATTAATATAGATATCAGGGACTGAAAAGATGACTGAGTGGTCAAGTGCACTTGTAACTCTTGCAGTGGACCTGGGTTTGAATCCTACTGTCTACATAGTGCCTCATAACTATCTGTAAACCCAGTTTCTGAGCATCATATGCCCCTTGTGAACAATGTGAGCACTAGAGAGCCATTTAATGCACATACATGTGAACAAACCTAGTCAAACACACAAAAATAAAATAAATAAGTCATGGAAATATCAATTCACTATGACAATTTTAGAAATTAATTAAATACAGAATGCCCAGGAAAATCATATTTTTAAAAAATCAGTAGATGCAACTATTTACTCAATCTATATTAAAAACAGAGATGATATAAGAGCTTGACAATCTCCAGGTCCAGGTTAGTGATTCTGAAGATGCTGAGATGAGAGAGACAAGGGATGGAGTTTTCATTAGAGAATCAGAAGGAAGGGCCCGTAACAGATGCAAATATTGATTAAAAAAAAGCAGTGAGAAAATATATTATTTTTGTTTGAAGTAAAAAATAATTATACTAACTTATAACAGTACTTCCAAGATACAAATGGAAAATCTATGTAGGGTATAATATAAACCTCATATTGAATATACATTAGCCTTAGTTTTCATCCTTTAAAAATAATTTTAAATTGTTCTTTAAGGGTTTCACACATGCAAGCAGTGTGTCTTGAATCTACCTCCTATTTCTACCCCTTCAAATCCTCCCAATTTTAATAATATTTTGATGACTTTTTCTAAAACAGAAATTTATGCTAAGTGGTAGCATTGACAGAAATGTAATTTTCAGTCAGAATGACTTATTTATGAACCAAATTGTAAGTTGTTAGCAGCATTTATAAAGATATTCAATTAAATAAATTTGTTTGGTAAATATTTTTAGTCAAATGGATATTGTCACATGTTTAATGATTTTTTTCCAGTTTTCAAATACAGAGTAAACCTTTTAAGAGTATCTTTTCCTTCACTACATGTATTGATTCTGGTTTCATTCTAAAATTATCTGAAAATAATTCTGGAGGGAATTAAACATTTAGTATAAATAGGAATTCTAGCATAAACGAAATCAGGTATTGTCTAACAACACTCAACTTTAGTATTCTTAAAAGTTGCCCTCCTAGCTTCAGAAGTAGCAACTTTTTAGAAAAGTTTGTGCCAGTTTGGAGAAACAAGCTGCTTTTAACATCACTGAAACAGTAAAGCTAATGCACTGCATTTCTCAAGAATCATTTGAGTGGTAGTGAATATGACTCAAAGGACTGTGTATTCCCAGTGGATGCACAGAGAGTTATCTTCCTCATTCTTTCTTCTGAGCCCCATACATAAGCATTATTGTGGTATGAGTGTAGAGTCACTCTTAGACTCATGGATTTGAATACTTTGTCTTCAGTTGCTAGGACTGACTTGGAAGGCTGTAGAATATTTATGAACTGAAGTGTCACTGGAGGAAGTGAGACTCTGGGGATGGATCTTGAGATTTGATACCATGGCCCCACTTCCTGTCCATTTTGCTTCCTGACTGCAGATCCAGTGTGCCCAGACTATTCTATTTCTTACCATTATGATTTTCCTGTTAGAATAATATGTATTGCTCCCAAATCATTGTCTTGAATAAGCCCTTCCTCTCTCTAAGTTTACTTATTGTCAAGTATTTATACAGCAGGGAGGAAAGTAATGGACATTGACTTTAAAAAATAAAAAAAATAGAAAGCAAACAAAGGAAGATTGATAAAACTAAGCAAAGAGTCATCAGTGATGATAGTTACTATGTAGACAAAATTAAGCAGGGTCAAGTGATGTGATATACCTTTAGGACAGTTGTTATTTTATGTGCCTTAGTCAGTGTTCTATTACTGTGAAGACACACCAAGACCACAGCAACTCTGATGAAGGAAAACATTTAATTGGGACTTGATTAGAGTGTAGAGGTCCAGTCCATTATCAGCATGGCAACATGCAGGCAGACTTGATGCTTGGGACCTTGAGAATTCTACACCAGGATCTGGAGTTAGCAGGAAGAAAGAGTGAGTCATTAAGTCTGGCTTGAGCTTTTGAAACCCCAAAGCCCACCTCCAGTGACACATTTTCTTCAACATGGCCATGACTGCTCCAACAAAGCTGAATCTTCTAATCCCCCTCAAGTACCACCACTCCCTAGTGACCAAGCATTAAAGTACCTGAGCCTGTGGGGGTCATTCCTATTCAAATGACTATAATAACATAGATCACTGTCTTTACGATGTATAGGTTCTCTCTCTCTCTCTCTCTCTCTCTCTCTCTCTCTCTCTCTCTCTCTCTCTCCCTCTGTGTGTGTGTCTGTGTCTGTAAGTGTGTTTATGACAGAGACTTTCTTTGTAGCACAGGATAGCTTGGAACTCATATATCAAAGTAGAGCTTCAATACACATTATTTTCTGAAATCTGGGCATTCTGGACTATCAAGAATTTAGAGAGAAAGTAAAATAAGATTATGTAGGTTTTTCATGGCTGTAGATGTAATTTTTGTTTACTCTGAATCTGAAGGTTAAAGTGTGTATGTATTAATATATTTTATATGGGAAAAACAATGAAAGGTGATGTGATAGATTTCATTTTATTTATATTTTGTTCAATAAACTTTTGTCTCTGAAAATAAAAGCTGATGCATACAGGAAACAGTTTCATTACATACTAATAAAATGTTGCATTGAGAAGAAAGGCAAGAGATAATGTTTTTCAAGTGTATAAAAGGAAACATTTTAATAACAAAAGTTTGAATTTTGCAGATGTGAATTGAGAGAAAATCACAGAGAATACTATGTGTGTACGTATGTAGAAATATGCATGCCAAAGGCATATGTAGCAATGTGTGCCTTAGTAGGGATGTATTTAGGACCATTGGATAGTTTCTCATCTACAGTACTAATAACACGGTAGACAAATAGTAAGTATTAAGTACATTAGATTCTGAAAGGTTTGATACACAGTTCATGATTTTCCATATTTTTCTTTATTTTTGATTTTTGTGAAAATAGAGGTCATTTTGACACACTGCTGGGGTGATTAAGACTGACAAACAGATGTCATCAGGACCCAAAAGTTAGCTAGATGTACAGGGAGTGAGAAAGCTAGAACAGGAGGCTCAAATATGGAGGTGGGGGAGAGAAGAGGGCAATAAGAGAGGGAACACAGGGGGCAGAGCTAAAACTCTGGGCTATTTGAGGGCTTGTATGGAAACCTAATATAGTAGAAGCTTCTTAAAGTATATACAATTGTGAATGAGATTTAAATGGAATAACTATAGAACAGGGTAGGCAAAGCCAGAAGTAGACAGCTCTCATTAGTAAATGATATCTCCAGTTCCAGAAATGGGATACATCTAATCAAGTTGTTGGACAAATGGGGTTCCATGGAAATCCCTAAGCAACCCAGGCAATTGTCAAGGCTATTTTTGTTCTCCAGAATCTGATGGTAAGTTTCTTTTGCTGAAGACAACAACTAGAAAAGTCAAGTTTGTGCCTAACTAGTCTTTGTCCCTATTGACTCCTCTTCATGGTGCTGGAAGGTATTTTGTATTCAACCAGAAGAGAAAGGTAAATACCAACCCAGCTATAAACCCTTTGACTCACAATGGTGACATGCCTGTCAGATGCACTAGAACAACAGTGGCACAAATCTATGGGAGTAACAACATTTATATGATTTGAGTTAAGACCTACTCTCTGACATGGCAGCCATACACAATGCTGCTTGGTAATCAAGAACCCGGGACTAGCTAGGCCAGAGACTTTGGGGAAAAAGTCAAATACCACTTCTGCTAAACTTTAAGAACATGGAAATAAAATGACTACTAATGATATTCTGCCATCTTTATAGATCACTGTCTTTACCAGCCCAGCCGTCATCAGAGAAGCTACCTTCTGCAGTATATGGGAGCAAATACAGAGACTTACAGCCTGACAGCATTCAGAGAGTGAGAGACCTTGGAATACTGGACCCTAAATGGAATGTTTCCATTAAACATTTCTCCTTAGAGCACAGGTAACTCTGCAGAGGAGAAGCCAGAGAGATTGTAAGAGCCAGAGGGGATGGATGGAAGACACCAAGAAAACAAGTTCTTCTAAATACAGAAGGACAATCAGACATTTGAACTCACACAGTCTGTGGTAGCATGCACAGGGTCTGCAGAGGTCTAAGGCAGATGGGATCCCACTCTGAGAGGGAAAGAAGACACAAACTCTCATCACTAATGCATAAGTTATCTCCAATTGATAACTACTTGCATGTTTTTCCTTCAAAGGAATCTTACTGGGTGTATAAACCTCTCTTAAGGAAAGACCACATACCCAGAAATGAACTCAATGACATCTTTAGAGTTTTTTGTCTTTTTTTTCCTCATAATGATTTTTCTGGGCACTGTTTTTTTTCTCCCATATTGGTCTTTTGCATACATATTATGCTTTCCAGTGTTGTGCTTGTGTAGGGTTTCTGTGTGTGCAAATATGTTTGTCTCTGGGTAATTTATGTGTACTGTTTTTTCTTGGCTCTTTTTTTTTTTCTGTTTGTTTTGTACTGTTCTGGTTTGTTTCTTATTTTATCTTATTTTATTATTGTTTTTAAGATTCCTGTTTGTGTGAGAGAAAAAATAAAAAGTTATGAATTTGGGCAGGTGAGGAGGTCAGGGGATCTGGGAGCATTGGAGAAAAAGAAACCATAATCATAACATATTTTATGAAAAAAATCTACTTTCATTTAAAAAAGGTTGGTAAGAGTGGGTAATGGTCCTTAATAGAATATAATCCAGAAAAGCAAAATTTAAAAGTGAAGGAAAGATTATATCTATAGGCAGGAAATAAGATCAATAAATAATTTGAATGAAAGTATCATATTATATGATCATTCAAATAACAAATGACTGAGAACAGGGAATTAAAAATTTATAGATATTTCAGTTCTAAATGGATCAATAAGGGGTGGACCAATGTGCTGCTTATGGTAGAAAAAGAGGACAGATATGGGATCAAGACTATGAGAGGATTGGGTAAAGTACTCAATTAGATGTTGACATTACTAAAGTGGTATCAGGATTCTAAGAAGGAAGAGAAATGCTATTATCAGTATATAAGAAAATGTATCCTGAGAAAGAAAAACCAAGCCAATATATTTAGGGAATGTTAAGTAGCATTATAAAGTCAAATTTAGAGTTTGAAAATGGTCCACAAACATTTGGCAAATGCCGCTGAAAAACAAGGAACACATCTAGCAAGTGCCCAAGTGATTTGAACACTTTTCCTTTGAACGTTCCTTGTCTTAGTCACTATTCTATTGGTGAGAAGACACATCATGACCAAGGCAGCTTTATAAAAGACAGCATTTGACTGGGGGCTTACAATTCTAGAGGTTTAGTCTGTTATCATCATGGTGGAGAACATGACACACAGGGATTGGAGCAGTACCTGATAGCTACATCATGATCTGAGGAGAGAGAGAGAGAGAGAGAGAGAGAGAGAGAGAGAGAGAGAGAGAGAGAGAGAGAGAGAAGAGAGAACTGAACTTTTGAAACCTCAAAGCTCACCTCCAATGACATACTTCTTCCAACAAGACCACACCTCTAAATCCTTGTAATCTCACTTAAAAAAAAAAATAGTCCCACTTCCTGGTAACTAAGCATTTAAGTATATGACTGGATGAAAGCCATTCTTATTCAAACCACCACATTCCACTCTCTGTGCCCCAGCCTCTGTAGGCTAGTAACAATATCATAATGCAAAAATGCTTTCAGTTTACCTTAAAAAGTCCACATAGTCTATCAACACTGTTTAAAAATGCAAAGTTTAAAGTCTCTTCTGAGACTTATGGCTATCTCTTAATCCTCCCCCCTGAAACCCAAAATCAAAAGCAGATCACACACGTCCAACATACAATGGCACAAAACAAGGCCCAAAACCAACAGGGAAAACTCCAAATTCTGCATCTCCATGTCTGATATCAAAGTGTTCTTCAGATCTCCAGCTCCTTTCAGTGTTGTTGACAGTAACATATTTCTCTCTGTTGGGCTGGACCCATACCTAACCTACAGCTCTTCTTGGCAGGTATCCCACAACTCTGATATCTCCAACATCTTTGAGTCTCCAACAAAATCTAGGCTTCACTTTCACAGCTTCAACAATGGCCTTTCTGGGTCTCAATGCAGAGACGCCATTGATACACACCTGGGCTCAGCAACTTTCTTTATTCCTAGAGGGAGGTTTCACAACCTCTTTCTAGAATTCTTTACCTCAAAAGTCACCAAGTTCTGTTGCTTACTAGGGTTGGAACATGGCCTTCTCATTCAATTTCAACTGTATCAACTTTCTGTTATTGATGTTTTCCTTCATTGATTAAACTTTTCTTTCATTCCTTTTCACAAGTTGGAAGCTTAGTTGGCGAACAGGAGGGTCTTGCCCTGAGGTCACCATTCCCTTTATACAATTTAGCATCAGGCTTTTCTGTGAGCCTCTTATCTCCTGGAGCACTGGTCTTAGCTCCATTATACTTTCTGGTGTAGATGTAACCAACCGTCTTAATAAATAAGAAACACAGAACCAATATAAAAGAGAAAGCCAAGAGGTCAGAGCTCAGAGCTAAGGTCCTACCTCTCCGAAAAGAGACCTACTTCCTGTGTGTTTGTCTTGATATAGTCTTTCTGTTCTCCCTTCTCATTGGTTGTAAACCCAAACACGTGACTGCCTCGTCACTGCCTGTAAGTACAGCCCTCCAGGTCTTAAAGGCATATGTCTCCAATGCTGGCTGTATCCCTGAACACACAGAGACTTACCTAACTCTGCCTACCAAGTGCTGGGATTAAAGGCGTGCGCCACCACCGCCACGCTCTTTCTATGGCTCTAGTAGCTCAGACCCCCAGGCAACTTTATTTATTAACATACGATTAAAATCACATTTCAGTACAAATAAAATACCACCATATTCTGGTGCCCCTTTTCTCTTCAAACTATACATTTTGTATTTTCACTTGTTTATCTTGCTCCTTTTCATTATAGATCTGCACAGGATTGACCACTAGTAACTACATAACAAAATCAGTACTAGACTAATTTGAAATCAATGCCAATGCCATTAATCCAAAACTCTTCAGTTTATCCTCAGGTAATTTTTTTTTTTTGGACAAGGACAAAAAGCAGTCACATGGTTCACCAAAATATCACAAGAAATGTCTCTAGGCCACTTGTGAATATTTCTCTCCTCTGAAAACTCTTTTGCTGTGTGCTCATAATCTACATTGTTTTCAGCACCACTATCTTTTATATTTCCACTAATGGCCCATTAAGCCCTGCTTAAAGTGTTCAACTGCTTTCCTAACACAAAGTCCACATTCCACCACCAGCAAGCATAGCCAGGCCTGTTGTAACAATCCTATACTCCCTAATACCAACATCTCTCCTCCAAGATCTTTCTAATAGCAATGGGGTCAGCCAGCCCTGGACTGAAAACTGAGAATCCATGAGTTCAGTTATATCTTCCCTTCTTTTAGTTGCCTTTCTCAGATATTTTGTCATAGATAGCAATAAGATTCTGGTTAGAACATATCAAAAAGCTTGTATCATGGATTATATTTATCACTATTTAGTGTGTTTTCCTGAATATTACCTGAATGTTATAAAATTTCAGCTTATATTTACAGACTTTTAGGAAAGAGAGTACCTTCTTTGTGATTGTGATGGATAATTTTGAACATGGATTTAGAATGCACAGTTTTCTTCACTTATGAACAAAACATTGTTCACTGACACCTATTGAATAACTAAAGACATTATTCCAAGGGGAAGCAAGGTACCATTGTAATAAACACAGGGAATACAGCAATGGGATCGTCTCATGTGGGAGACAGGTTGTGCTTAATTCTGAATGCAATATGGGTTTGGCAGATTTTGCATATATGGGGTACCTTGAGTGTCCGTGAATAAAATATTATTGAAATAACATCATGGGTGCTATGATTTGAATGGATAGGATTATAGGGAAAAGCTATAATACCCAACTCAGTACCCATTATTGATTGTCAAAATATGTAACAATAACTTTTAGCATAAGAACAATGTATGCAAATGTTCTTCAAATTGAAGAAACACCTATAGAGAAACCCTACAGGTAAGATTACACTTACCTATAAGATATTGTGAACTTGTCAATTATGTGTAGAAAATCTGAAAAATGTCAGCAACAAAGAATGTTCAAGAATCAAGGAACATTCATGCATTTTCTCACCACAGAATAATGGCAAATATGAGAAAAGATGAAACTGCTAATTAGCCTGACTTTAGTATTGCATATATACAATATAGTAATATATACTATAATATTATATACTAATATATAATATAACAATAATATGTTACTGCATATTATATACTACTAATTCATATAAATATATGCAATCATGGAAATTAAAAAATAAGTAGCTGAAGAGATTTGTTAAATAGTGATATATATATATATATATATATATAATGATTAACTCACTGATATATAGTGTCTGATAGCAATAGCTGCAATTAATGCAACATGTATTTTAGCAGATTTCTGCTATTATACCACTGTGTTTGTTATTATTGTATTATATTCACTCAGTAAAATGAATCGCAAATAATGAAAATGTCATAGGTCACCAATGAGATACAGTTATATTTTCTTTACTAAGAATGAAGTTACTTTCATAGAAATCTCTGCCACTATAATTAACAAGACAAGTAGCATTTTACACTAATTTTTATATGTGTCTTATCATATTGAAATGTTCACTCAATAGACAGGAACAGGTGTTTGTTTCATTTGTGAATATTTCCACTCATATACTAAGCATGTAATCTTTGTTATTAATGAATAAATGGAAAAGGTTGCTTGAGACCACTACCCTGCCAGAGTGGATATTAAAGTTCCATCAGTTTTTTTGCATAAAAACTGAATTTTATTATTTGTAAACACACCACCTGATAAAATCCTTCTCTGGGTAATATTGATTAGCTGCAGTAATGTTGAAGGCCAGTCCCAGTCTCTACAAGGATTAGATATTTGAAAATTAAGTATTAAAATGCTTCACTTTTTCTTGTTCTTGCAGAACAAGAAGAGTAATCCTAAACACTTCTTGAAAATCATCACTTTTTTTTTAAATTTAAATTAAGCTTCCATTGTGTGGAACTGTTCAATATTATAATTAACAAGTGAAAGAAAATATAAATGTTTGAAATTCAATTCTCTGATATTTGGAAGGTTAATATTGAATGTACATAGGAAAAGGGATTACAGTTGTAGAGGGAAGGCATAATTTCTTATTTTACCAGTTGGTAAAAACATAGTAAAAATGGGTATGGGTATTTTATCTAAGATAAAATAATGATAAATATTTCTAGGTAAGATTAATTTAAACAAAGGTATTCTAAGTTTTTCTTGTCTTCATTTTCCCAGAGTCTCACTTCACTTTTCAAAGATCCACTGGTTAAAAGCAGTATTGAACTTCCTATTTCTAAAAGTTGTTTTCTGTTAAATCATTTATTTCTCTGCCTGTGATACTATTGTCCTATGTCTGAAATGTTAATTATAGTATCTCAAAATTCAAGTTAAATGTGACTTTCTTCATGGATATGCTTCAGCTCCTGAGGTCAGAATGCATCACATATTTCAGGCATGTGCATACACATGCCGTGCATCTCTAGGCCAGACCTTATTGGATCTGTGAGTATAATGGGGCATCGACAAAGCCTTTGCCTTTAGAATCTTGTATTAGCTAGGATTTTCTTCAGAATTGATAGCCTTCATATTAAGAAGGTATGGGGTGATCTATTTCTCACTCATCTTGCCTTTTATCAGCCATCAGAAACCATTTCCCTGCCATTCTCTCACCTCATGTAACCAGATAACAAAAAAACATACTTAATGTGTTCTCTGCCAGTCTCCATTTAAAAACTCCTTCAAGCCACACCCCAGAAAACAGAAGCAACTCTATATATTCTGTGCACAAAAGGAAGCCTAATATAGAGAATCCGATGCATACAGAGTCATGGGAGAATAAGGAGGAGTAGATTCTGGTTTAACTGGCCATGATTCCCAGAAAAGTGCAGACCTGGGCTGACAGGAAGCTAACCCTGCATAATCAGCAAAGTGGGAAACATAAACCAGCCACAATGAGTTCAGACACCCCAGCTGCAACTGCAAGTCAGGGATCAGACATTGCAATCATGAAACCAAGGCAATTCTGCTGTGACTGTACTTCAAAGTCATGAGGTTGACGCCTTCACACAGGGACATGTACGCTCTGGCTTCAGCCTCTCATACTTCAACACTTGCAAAAACAAAGACTCAACACAAATACTGCGGTGTTAATACTCCTTGCTGGCCAGTAGTAAATACTGAAAGAGACATAAAGGTGATTTTTCTATTACAATTGTCCTCACATTTCATAAAAGCTAAATTTTGTGCCACAGTCTAATCTGTATTCAGAAATGAACCTAAGAGGAATTCTGGCACTGAGTGGAAAAGCAATATAACAATTAATGAATGTATTTACCAGAAATATTTTGTAGTTTTGCCTTAAAATAATTAGTTATATTCTGAGAGATGGTACCGTGAGACTAATATAGTATGAAACAAAAATGCAAAGGATTGGGAAAGTGCTTCAAAAAAATGAATTCACTGAATCAAAAGAAATAATAAAATAGAATAAGCTGGAACAAATATTGGAAGATAGTCCAGAAAGAAGAAACAAGCATGGAAAGCAGTATGTTGCTTATAATATGTCACCGGAAAATATAATAAAGTTGAGGTCTGAGAGGAAGGGACTTATGTCAGTAAATCCCATTTCTACTCCTAAGCATGTGCAACAGTATGTTTGGTGTTCTGGGATTCTAGTAACAAAATCAAATGACTTTATAGACCCCTGAGACAATGGAGGAGAAGGGGACAAGATCAGGGAGGGAAAGGACTACTGCAGGGGAGGGCAGCTGTAACGTTCTAGTTCTAGTCATTTCCCATAAGACCCATACGTGCATAAAATAGGTGCAAGGCTGGAAAGAAGGCTCAGAAGTTAAGAGCACTTGCTGCTCTTGCAAAGAATTCTAGCACTCACATAGTAGCTCACAAATATCTGTAACTCCAGTTCCAGAGATTTTAATACACTCTTCTGGCATCTTCAGGCAGCAGGCATGAACATGGAACACAAACATACATGCAGGCGAACACTCATACACATAAAAATAAATAAATCTATAAAGTAGATAAAACAAAATAAGCATTTCTCATATACTCTGATAATTAAAACATCTGATTATGATAATTTTCACTGTTTTTTCCAGAATGAAGGGAAACTTCCCCATGGATTGAATGGAGGTCTATTAAACTCTTTTCATTATTTGTTGAAGTGATGATCTCACCAGCATGTCAGCTAGACTTGATTTCTGCATCAAAAAAGTCTGATACACTACGGACTATGGAATTCAGAGGACAAGAGTTTTGAGTCTCACACTGCAGTTCTTTTACTTTGAGAAAATTCTAGTTAAATAAAGGAAAAGAAAATTATTTAATGGCCTTGAATTTTTATAATTTTGCTTCAAAGTAGATCATTAGTAAAAAGAATTATGGAAAATTAGAATAATTCAATATAATCATGGATTGTCTCAATCTGTTCACATTTTCCTATAAGTGTTAAAAATATTTTGTAAGTATACTCATTTTTGTGCTAATGTTTAATGCCATGTTGTAGGTAATATAGTTTCTTTGCCACCATTTAATCTGAAATTGAAAATAATCATTTTCATCACAGAGAACCTCTAAAATGAATGAACCACTGAGTTGTTTCTTGGATTTTCTCTACTGAAATAATAACCTATGGATACATAAATATTCTTATTTGTACTGTAGTATTAGTGCATGTATTCTTATTGTTTTATAACATTAGTAAGTATGTGCCACTGTGCCTGGCTGCAATTGGAAACTGATCCCTCTCTTCTATTTTTTTCAAGAATGATTTAGCTATTTCTACAAGCAAGTTGTCACCTTTTCATATTGAACAAAATAAAATGAATAAGATTGTGCTGCTGCGTTTTAAGAAGCTTTTGTGAAAATGGACAGATATGAATGAAGATGGATGATTGGAAGTTACATAGTAATAGCTCAAGATGAAAAATTAAAGGAGCAGGGACATTTGCAGTCAGATGACTCAGTGGATAAGGGTGCTTACCACCCACCCTGACATCCTGGTTTCCACCATTTGAACACTGACCACAGAAGGGGAAGAATCTGTGAGCATATTGTACAAAAAATATATGTACTATCTTACTTTGTCTTTTATTTATGAGATATAATATATATATATATAATATAATTACAACACTTCTCACTTCTCTTTCCTCCATCCAAGCACTGCTATGTACCCATCATTGTTTTCTTTAAGATTCATCACTTCTATTTTCATTAATTATTATCCCCTGCGTGCGCGTGCGCGCGCGCGCGCGCACGCACACACACACACATTCTTAAGTGTTACCTGTTCAGACTGTATGTTACAAATTTTATAGTTCTTTTCTCTATTTAAAAATTGTCTTTCTTGTACCTTGCTCTGGATTTAGGCATAATATCTCTGTCTTTTCAGATAATAAATGATCAATATGTCAAAATTAGCAATCTGAATGTAAAATAAGTAAATTAAATAAAAAAAGAAAAAATACTTGGAGATGGAGTCAGTGTCAGAAATGAAACACAATCTGCAATATTCTGTAGCGTATTAAAATTCTTTTCCTAAGAAATGTCACATTTTTATCAATGGAATCATTGTTTTAAGCTGCAAGTAAAATGGAAAATAAATACAATATGATCTAATCTCAATGAAGAAGATATTTTGAGACAAAAAATTGATCATGGTGCTTACAATGCATTTTTTGGCAACTACATTACATATCAAGAATTTACTAGAAAACATTTTATAAAAGAGACTTTATATAACATAGCTTTTACAATTTCAGAGACTCTGTAATAGTGAAGAAAAGAAAAAAAAGATGAAAAGACAGCAGTCTATAGAAATTTGGATGGATGAATCTCTCTAGGAAGGGAAAATAGAATAGATAATATGGATTGGATAGATGGGCAGGGGCTGGAATAGGGAATCAAACAGAAAGTGAGGGAAGAGGGGGAAGAGGGAGGGAATATAGAGAGGGGCAGTTAAAACTGAGGGCCATATGAAAGTCTATAAAAGTAGATGCTTCCATATATACATCATATACATGTATATATGTACATATACATATGCGTTATATATGTATACACACACACACACACACACACACACACACACACACACACATATATATATATATATATATATATATATATATATATATATATGATGTAAATGAAATTACCAAACCACAGGTGAGACAGAGGCCCAATTGGACATCTCTTGCCACCAAATGAAGATTCCAATCCTGAGAATGGGTTGTATCTAATGGGATTTTTTGGCCAAAGGAGTTCGCATGGGAACCCCAAAGCACCCAGGCGATTGCCAAGGCTCTTGGTGGCTCTATACAAACTGACAGTAAGGCCCTGTTGCTGAAGGCAACACCTACACAACTCCTTTCAACACAGAGAAGCTGGGCTTGTGCCCACCTAGAACCATCACCCCTACAGAATGATACCCATGGCACTGGAAGATACTCTGCAAGTTATCAAAGGAGGATGGTAAACACCAACTCATCTACAAACTCTTCAGCCTGTGAGAATGATTTGTCTGTAAGATGCGGTGATGCAATAGTGGTACACAATGTATGGGAGTAATGAACTACTTTCTGATTTGAGCTAAGGCCCACTCCACGAGAAGAAGACCATACTCAACTCTGCTTGGATGGCCAGGAACCTGAGACTAGATAGGCCGGGTACCTAGGAAAAAAATCAAATACTACTGTTCTGCTGAAGGAAGGTAGCAATAAAATGACTCCTAACAACACTCTGCTATACTCATAGATCAGTGTCTTGCCTAGCTGTTATCAGGAAAGTTTCTTCCTGCAGCACACAGGAACAAATACAGATACCCCACAGCCAGACAATGTGCAGAAAGTGAGAGATTTTGGAACACTCAGCCCTCAATGAGATGATGTATCCATCAAATCCCTCCTTCAGACCTCAAGGAACCCTGCAGAAGAGGATGCTAAAAAAGTGTAATGTACGGATGTGGCAGCATGCACAGGTCCTGCAGGGTCTGCACCAGATGGGGTCCTAGAGCTGAAAGAAGTGGACACACTCCTATCTCTAACCCAGAACTTGAGAGGCAGAGGCAGGTGGATTTCTGAATTGGACTTTTTTTTTTTTTTTTGAGAAATAGAAAGCTATTTAATAGCTTTCTGTATAGAGACTTGCAAATAAAGATAGTTTGCTCCAAGGGATTTCACTGAGAAAAACATCACTCTTAAGGCATTCAACACAAAACAAACTCAAGAGTATCTTTGAGGTACTTTGCTTTTGTTTGTTTGTTTGTTTTATTTTTTCTACTTTACTTTTTTTTTTTTTGCATTTATAGTATGGCTTTCAGTTTTCCAGTTTGGGTTTTAATGATATTCATAAGTGTGTGAATGTTTGTGTCTCTGCATCTATATGCATTTCTTGTGCTTTTTTCTTTAACTCTTTTTTTTGGCTTGGTTGTTAGAAATATTCCTACTGTCTTGTTTTGAATTATCTAGTTTTATTTTATTATTATTTTTAGATGCTTGTTTATTTTCTAATGAGAGGTAGAATGGGTGTGGTTCTGGTTGGGGGAAATGGTGAGAAACTGGAAGGAGTAGGGGTAGGGGAAACCGTAATCAGAATATAATGTATGAGAAAGAAAAATCTATTGTCAATTAAAAAACAAAGAAGAAAAAGAAATTTGGGAGATGTCATGGAGAAAGAAACTAACAAGAAAGTCTTTGGCTCAAGGTGACATTTAAGTGTAAGTGTAACTTTTCCCAAAGTTAATTAAATACTGAGAGAAATAGGTCTCAGTATGACTGTGAGGAGGGTGCACATATTTGTTTCATGTAGCACTCAGAAACACTGAAAATATATAAGCAGAAATAGTAACTTTTAATGTTCATAAAAACTCTAATGCCCCTGTGTCCTGTTCTAAAACTGAATGAGTCTTCATTCTTATGTTAAACAGTTGAGTGATATCCTTGAATTTCACTTGAAAGGTGTTCACAAACATGTATGGCAAGAAGAATGAAAAACTGGGCATGTTATAAATGTGTGCTTACTATCAACCAGATACTGAGATGGATGAGTCACAATGAAGACTTCATTAAATCCTCATAAGAATCCCTCCATTTTTACAGATGAGAAAATTGAGGGCCATGTACAAATATTATATGCTTCAATTAAAGATGAGTGTTTGGAGTCCCAACCAATTCTCTTACATCAAAGACATTATTTAAATTTTTGCCTCGATTCAAGCAAAATTTAAAGACTTAGCAATAAATGGAATAATCTAAAATTTTCACCCTGGTGATAACTATAGAAACAACTGATTTGGAAAGTGAATGAAATATAAATCCAATTTGGAAATTTTCTTCATAAAGTGAATAGTATAAAGATCATTTCTTTGAGTGAAAATAAGAACTCTATTTTCTCAAATCTATTAAAGAATAAAGTAGCATTACTTGAAAGTATTTTTATCTCAAAGATAACTTCAGAAAATATCTAGGTTTAAAAAAATTGGAAAGCTTAAAGCTATAAATTGTAACTAAATAAAGAGTAAAAATCTTGCTTATAAATAGGTCAGTCTGGAGAGAAATGTGCTTAATCGACTTGAAATACACCTGGGAAAGGACATTAATAATGCCTAATAAAAATGTTTGTGAAGCATTTTTCTGTATCATGCACAATAGAAAGTTAGCGATGGTGAGTATATTGCAGTAAGAATTTTTAAGTGCACGGTACTGCTGCTTATGTAGAAGTTGGGAGAATTATGTAGATGCTGTTTGTACAGACAATAGTAAATATTTAATATTAAAAAAATAATGTAACAACTGAAATTCATATAAGAAATCAGGAGATAGAAGTTTGCAATTCTTCAATTTTCTTTTCATTTGTTTATAAATGTGTACCAAACTACAGTAGAAATTCTTCATAAAATGTTCGTATGAAAGAAATCAAGATTAGTTTTCTATCCTTAAGTTTAACTTTTTTATTTTTATTACACAACGATTTGAATATAAAAAACACATGGAAGCCCATTAATTAAAGGATATGCCCTGTAGTTCACCACCTACTTAGACAATTTTTAACATTTTGGTTTGTTTAGATGTATCTATATCTTTAAACCATGTCTACAAATCACTTGCTAATATATTTTAAACTATTATAAACTTAAATCTTTGTGCTTTTAAAACTTCAATAAACCTTTCCAAAAATAAAATTCTCTAACATAACTATACTTTCATAATCATATCACTTTAACAGGGTCTCATTCTGTAGATCAAGCTGGCACTGAACATGCGATCTTCCTGCTGCAGCTTCTGAAGTGCTAGGTTTGCTCACCTGGATCATATGATATGTCAATCATTTGTTTAAATTATGTCATCTTAAAAAGGAGTATAACCTAATAGGGCTAGACTGCCCTACATTTTATAAATGGCTTAATATTTCCTTGTGTTATTGTTCAATAATGTTTCCCTTCAAATCATGTCTGAAACTTGGAGAGCCAATAACTTTGCTAAACATATTTCCTGGTAGGTATTATTCACTTCATCACTAAGCTAACAAATCAGATCCATATTAAATGGGTTACATGTATTAAAACACATCTGAAAATTCTTCCACAAACATTAGTACAAAAGGTGAAGTCTCATTATTTTCTTCTTGAATATGGGATCGGCTTTAAAAGTAGATTGAAAATTGTTATATAAAGGAGTATATATATACATATATATGTATATACATATACTTATACATCATATGCATCTATAATCATGAAGTATCAATTAGTGAAAAAAGCAGCCATAAATTTGAAGGAGAATGGTGAGTAGTATATAGAAATGTTTGGAATGAAGAAAAGGGACAAATATAATTAAATTATAAGGTCAAAGGTTAAAAAATGGGAAAAAAACGAGGAGAAATGGAGAGGGTAGAGCATATGATTGTCACATATTTATTCACTTTTCTGTCATGTTCACTCAGAAAATTGTATAATTACACTGAATTGTATAAAAATTTGACCTATCCAAAAGGCAGCACAGGGGCTTATCGTGGGGAAGAATGAGTAAGTTTCTATTACTTTACATGCTTATGGATATTCCATCAGTCTAAATGTTTTACTCATAGATTCTAACATATGCAGATACAGATGATTTATTCATGTTGCATACTTCTTTTTCAGTGTATTTGCTATATTAAATGAAGCAGAGATAATTATGTTGGAAACAGAACCAACTAGAAA